CGAGTCCCTTTTTGGGGGGGTTCGAAACTCATAATGAGTTTCGAGTCTCATTTTTTTGGGGTTCGAAACTCATGAGTTTCGAGTCCCATTTTTTTGGTACTCGAAACTCAAAATGAGAATACTGTACGTATGCGCAGTGCAGTACCTGCTTCACCCCTGAAGCGCCCGCTTGCCATGCCTCGCGGCAGTTCTCATTTTGAGTTTCGAGTCCTCTATTTTGGTACTCAAAGCTCAAAAATGAGACTTTGAACAATCGCGCTTTTGGTAAGGCATGCTCATAATAGGAGCATGCCTTACCTACAGCGCGATTTTCATAGGGTTTGCACACAGCGAACAAACAAATTTACTACTATTCGGTATGTTAGAAATACACTTCTGCGTTCATGATACGCATAGTTTCGATATCCTTGTAACTCGTTTCTCCAGTGGCATCGCAGCTCATCGTTCGTGCATTCAAAGGCATATTTCAGCCGATATTTGATCTTGTCAAATTCAAAATAAGGGTCAAGCTATTTTATCGTTTAAGTGATCATTGCTTACTTCCACTTAATAGAAAAATCGGCATGGCGTCCTTCACATGCAATCTACTTGCGATGTGTGGCGCCCCCAACGGCGACGTTTTGTTTCACTGGGGAATCTAAATTCGGAGAGTGATTGAAACGTAGCCGTGCTTATATATTATCTGCTGCAGCAGCTGTGCACACGAAGATATTTCGCTTCTACGGTTTGGCAGATTTGAAAAGGCAGTGACTTGGGCTACGAAGGGCAATTGCGCTTCAAAAACACAGGGGGTGACCGGTTGACCTTCGGGTCGTTATTGGCGTCACCTTCGACACCATTTTCAAGCCCAAAGATGTTCCCGCTCGCTGTTGGTGATGACGATCCTTAAACTGGACCCACTCCGTCGCTCAAATCGAAAGCCCCAGCGGGCTCATCCGCAGCTCGAGAAGTCTGCATTGGCAAGAACAGTGGCTATAGCCCCGCGAGAGACAGATTGCGTCTTGGCTGTAGATCCGTTGAGTGGTAGTCTCTGTCCTCTCTACGTCGGCGCACGCAGATCGTTATTCCTTTTTCCCTCTGCACCTGTTGATGAAACACAATTCGGAGGCTTAAAAAGTCAGTTGAAGTATCAGATCCGGGATTGTCGCTCTAGAAACGAAACGGAGAGCGATAAATACCACAACACCCATATTCTGGACAACAACAGTCGTGAAAGTGGATGAGAACGATCGCACGACGACACCGAAAGGGACGATTTGCAAATTGCTTCCGGGAGTCCCGTCTCGTTTTCTGTCATGAGGGTGAGCGCCCGATAACAAAAATATTCGGGTTTGCTTTTATATGTATCCTAAAAATCTAACTTTTCGCAGCAATACGAGAGGACTGCTCCGGTTTCGCGCGCTTTTTTCCGTAAGTAATGGTTAACCTGGTTGCGAGTAAATGTTTACTCGGTAAAATTCTGGAGTAAACATTTACCGGCAACGTTCAACTCGACATCGAGTGAATGTTAATCTGCTCGCGAGTAGAGGTTTACTCGGGCATTTTACGGAGTAAACATTTACTGTAAGTGCCGTTATAATTGTAAGCTGTCCTTTATTTTAATTTAACGTCTCTTCACTTACACTATCGGTGTATGCCGGTGTATGCCGTTTGTTTAACTTAATGTGTACCTTAGAGCATGCCCAGCAGTTTGCGAATCCAATCTAATTTTAGAACACTTGTCGCAATACGGTCTGTAGAAAAATTTTGGTTCCAAATTTTGAAGTTCCGTCCCTCCCAGGAAATAGATTTTGTGTGCTTGAACCCCAGCAGTCCTTTCAACCACCTGCAGTGGTCGACTCCGAAAAACATAATCACACAAAAACTGCCCGCTCACGGTACACATGCGCCCCGAAAGAACAGCTCACGTATCTGCACCAAGCATCACACCCCCACCATCACCTTCTCACCCCCACCGCAAAAACTGCCCGCTCACGGTACATGTGCCCCGAAAGAACAGCTCACGTACCTGCACAGAGGGGGGAATTGGGGGTGGAAGTGGGACTACGGGTAGGGTAGGAAGGGTGGAAGCGCCAGACGGATGGAGGTGGGGGGTAATGGGGTTGCTTGGAGGTGGGCTGTGGTGGAGACGAAGCCTTGGCGGCGTGGAGGGGGGTGAATCGTGAAGCCGGGTTCGTAGAAGGGGCTAGGATTCGGGTTCAGCCTTCAAGGTACTACTGCCGAAGTAGCTGTACATATCAGACACATTCGCACGGTCATTATATACAGCGGTGGCAGCATTTAAAACATCGTCTTCAGAAGATGATCCAGTTGGCTTTGAATTCCACACTCTCCGTACAATGCCATAAAATGTTAAACACGCCTTTCGAATGCCTTTGAATGGCTGTGAGATTGAAGAGCCAGTTCGACTGGCTCCTGGAGCAGAACCCGGATCTTTTGCGTTAACCTCAGCGAAAATACGCCTGAACTCCTCCTCAATCGAATCGTCAAACTTTCCCTTTTCTGTCCATTCCCTTTACAGCTGTTTTCAGACGCCACAACGAACGCCTGACACGCTACTATGTTTTCCTGTTGGCTCCATTCTTTTCGAGCTCCCATTGATTCGGCAAAGGGATTGGAGCTAATGAGCTGATCGGTGATGAGGCCTGGTGTGCGTTGAGATTGTTTGACGAAGGAGCAAAATTTATTGTTTCGCGAACTGCAACGTGGATTCAGGTGTTTCGGTGTATATTAAATTGGCGGGAGTTGGCTGACCTGGATTCAATCCGGATTTCGAGGTTGGATTTTGGATTGGATCCGGTTCTCTGGGGATCCAAATTTGCCTTTTTTGGACCCACTTTTTGGCAAGTCCAATCCAAAATACAATCATTAGGCGTGGGGATCAGTTATGACGAATACTTTCACATAAGCAGTTTTTTTCGAAATCAAAGCGGTTTGTTACAGATTGACATCGAAATTACAGAGTTGCAGGGGAATATCATAATTCAATAATCTTTAATTAGGACACAACAAAGCTGACAGAAGAACTGTCCCTCTACATCAGAGTGGTCATCCTCCGCGTTGGTTCCCATTGAACGAATAGACAATCTCATCGGAAGTCTCTGCATTTTCGCGCGAAACAGAGCAAATACTACTCGGCGATGGTGTGCGCACACAATTCTATCTTACCATGGAACAATTGGCGCCCATCTACGGATCACACGAAAGTTCATGCACTGTCTGCTCTTCCACACTTGAGACTTCTGAACGCGCCTTCACACAGAATCCCATCCAATCCTCCGCTCTGCTTATCCATCGCGATCGCCGTTCATGACACGCACACTCAAGAGTGCCGATCCCGCTGCTGCACTCCAAATACTTGGAGAACAGGCTGCACTACGGCAAGAGGAACTCGAAAAATTTGACGAGCTCGGTAGCCTTTCAGAGAGTGAGGACGCGCACGAAAGTGACTCTCCCATCATTGACAAAACTTTCGTAGAGAACGGCAATCAAGCCATCATGGACATGACAAATTTTACTCTGAATGAGTTCATGTCCATTTGGAACAATGTGGCCGAACATGTACGCCAAAACTATAACACTGGACGAGGAAGCTAATCGCCTATTCATGCCAAGGATTTGCTTTTCATGACGGTTACCGTACTGAAGCATGGAAGCAAATGGGACATGATGGCATATCTTTTTGGAATGAAGGCACCGACGTTCGAAAAAAGAGTGACCAAGATGATCAAAATGCTTTCGAAACATGCTTACTCCAAGTTTGTCACATTATACGAGCGCCGGTACTCGATGACCAGGCTCATATCAGAGAAGAAAACTTTCAAAAATTACGAGATATGTCGCTATGCAAACGACGTGACGTTTATCCAGAGTTTTCGTCCCGGTGGCTCGCTTGAGGAATCGAAAAAGTATTTTTCCGGCAAGCATAAATTGAACGGATACAAGGTTGAAGTATCGGTTCTTCCTAATGGTTTAGCGATTGGATCAAGTCGGCATCATCCAGAATCTGTTAGTGACATTGAGATAATGAGAGATATGATCGGCTTTCATGCTGATTGTCTGGAAAAATCGGAGGAGGAGAAGACAATCATCGACATCGGAAAAGGGGCTGACCTGCATGCCGAAAGCTGGGGTGTGCTACAGGACAAAGGCTACGTGGGAATCGAAAGTGAAATAAGAAGCATTATTCCCAAGAAGAAACCCCAGGGAGGCATGTTGAGCATTTCGGACAAGAGAGAGAACGAGGCTAAGTCGTCTGATCGAATTATACTTGAGAACTATTTCGGAAGACAGAGCACGCTGTGGGCAGTTGTGGCTAACAAATATCGCTGGGCTGAGGACTGGTTCGACGACATGTTTCGTTTGACGATGGCATTGACTAATGTACATATCAGATGGCATCCGTGCGAGACAGTGATGGTATATCGTATGAACGTTATTTGAAACGTTTGCACGATATAGCACAAACGGGCGTGAATGAGCGCAAACGTGCTCAGGCCTCGTATCGAAAGCGTAGGAAACGCGCAATGGAACGCACGTTGCGCACGAGGGAAGAACAGGAGGGGGTAAGTGCTCTGTTTGATGACGAGGAGGAGGAGGTCAGCGATTGAAATTTTTCTGAGCCATTACGTTGATAGTCTGTACCTGGAGTGATGAACGACATTTGAGTAAAAAGACCGTTTTCCTGCATGCGTTGCGTTACATCTCGATTTAATTTACCCCAGTATGCGAAGATCACATGCCTTCCGAAAAGATCAACGGTTTTCGCATATGAGAGGCCTACGATGACGAGCTGAATATCTGACTCGCAGACCTATTGAATCATGATCCACCGCTGCTGGGGTGTTGATTTTCATTTCTTGTCCCATTTTTTAGATTGGACCCAAAAACCCCAACTGCGGGGCATGCTCTTATCATATACCTTACATCTTTATTTACAACAGAGCTAAGACCCCTGGAACCACAGTGTGCACGACTGTTGCAGTGCGGTTCAGTAAAAAGAAGAGCGCTGGACGTGAATATGAAAATCTCAGCAAAAATCTGTAATGTCACGAGAGAAACATGTGTCTATAAACAGATGAGAACAAACTCCTCGGCCCTTGGCAGGGATGTGTCAGGTAAACTCGTCTTGAAGACGGTTATCTCAACCCGAAACATTGGACCGACGTCTAATCTCTACCCTCCACCACGTAAAGACGAGGACGCGCCGCGCCACCCTGTCAATAATAGTAATAATATGCGGCACCCCGCGCGTCCGAACCCTGCGGCGTACTACCGGTAGCTAGTGTTCGCGTCCATCGACCCGCTCTCGCCCGTGCCCCACGGCAGTTCTGACAGGTAGCGCTTCAACAACGGGTCCTTATAGTGCAGGCCGACGACGTCGAGGCCTGTAAAGTTGCGGCGGAAGACCTCGACAACGAGCGGCAGGTCGAACTTGTCTGGGGTATACGTGCCAGAGTTGTTGTCGAGCACTAGCGTGTACAGGGGCTCTCCCGAGCCGATGGGGGCGCGGCGAAAGTGGAGCTCGCCCGCGTAGACGACCTCTGGCGACGCGGAGCAATGCATGGCGTGCTTGGACATCATGTTGATGAAGAACTTGGCGCCTGTCTCCGCCATGTAGAGGCGCTCGGGCATGAGGACATAAGTGAAGGTACGTGGCTTTCCGCGGCGGATTCCGTACTCCATGAGCTCGAGAAAGTCGGAGCCGTCAAGCAGGTTTCCCGTGACCTCCATGAGGTCCTTGCGGATGCTAACGAGCGGCTTGATGCCGCTCGCGCCGCCGTACAGGTATGAGTGCTGCATCTGCACGACGCGGCGCATGACAGTGCTGCTGTTGCCCTGGAAGATCTTCTGGGCGGCCGGGTAGCCGCGGTTCCACCCCTGGCGGCGCCCCTGGAAGACGCTATCCACGGCGCGCATGTCGATCTTCCAGGTGGAGTGCTCGCGAAAGGCCGAGTTGATGGGCTGCACCAAATCCAGCGCGGACCGCAGCGGGCCGGCCTTCTCGGCGCCGCTCTTGAGCATGTTCTTCACCGAGTGGCCGACGCGGTTCTGAAACGGGAGGCGGCCGACGTTGCCAACATGCTCCGAGAACTTGTGTATCTGGAACCTCTTGAAATGGTTGTGTCGGGCGCTCTTCGCGAGGCTGGCGATATCGCCCGGGGCGACGATGACACAAACCGAGCCGCGCGGCAGCACGGGGTACGTTTTCGCCATGCGGCGCTGCAAGGCAGCAT